AATGAACAAACAAACAAACAAACAACAGACGGATGGACGGATGAACCAACCAACCAATGGACAAATGAATGAAGCAGCCAGCAACAAACAAACAAACAAACAAACAAAACAAAACAAAACAAAACAAATGAGCAGGCTTCATCTTTGGGAAAAAATAGAAAAAATGAAAATGACTTTAAACCAAAACATTATTGATTTTCACTTTGTTGTTATTTGTTTTTTGTTGTTGTTGCTGGAAAAAGGATAAATGTGTTGAAACCAAACCAAGTAACAAGTTGTGTTTTCACTTTGGGATTAATGAGGTTCATCTGATCTGATCTCACAACTTGATTTTTATTGTTAGTAGACACTGAAAAATGCCAAAATGGAAGATTTTCCTTTTTTTTTCATGGTTGGTTTGAAGCAAGTTTCTAAAAAAATGTAAACATCACCTCAAAGACTCAAAACCACCACGAGAAAGATGCAAAACAATCACATAAAGATTTTAAATCTTCACATGAAGACACAAAACCAACAGCTGATGTCGGTCGTGTTGGTTGGAAACCACATGAATGTGGATTTGGATCACTTCAGTAGAAAACAACCAGGTTACCATCAGTTATGATGCTGCCTCACATGCTAACGGTTTGTGTCGATGTCAGCTGAGCGGCCCTGAACATCCGCCACCTGGTCGTATGATCGTAAAACAAAACACACATTTAGTTTTTTATTGAGTGTTTGTGTTTTGAGGAACCAGACAGCCGAGCTGCTGCTGGATCATGACTCAGCGTTTGTTCCAGTGTTTGCTCGTCAGACACACACTGATTGTCGCATCGCTTCGGTGTTGTTGCGTCTCCTTGCGGTCGCCCAGCAGGAGGCGCTGTGACGAGGTGGAACCGAGCTCATGGGTTTAACGCTGATTGGCTCAAAGGGGGTCTCAGCGACTGAATGTGACCTCGTTGCGACTCTCAGATTCGCGTGGCGGGAGGCTGATTGGTGCCCGGCTGGTTACCGCGGATCAACTGGTTGCTATGGCGATGATGTGATTGGAGCTGAGCGGATTGGAGGAGGAGGGAGGGGGTTCTCCGTCACAGGAGAACATCGGTTCTGTCATCTGAGGAGCTGCAGCTCAGTCTGTAGCTATAATGAGACGACGAGGCAGCGCTGGCCTGGTGTCGCCTGCAGGGGGCGGCGCTGTGAACACACCTGGTCTGGACAGGAAGTAACCACTAAAGATGGCAGACGGGTTAATTACTCCTCTGCATGAGTATGTTTACTGATTTTAAATACTTAAAGCTGCGTTCTGTCTGACAGCCAGCAGGGGGCGACTCCTCTGGTCAGAAGAGAAACTGAAGCTTCTTCTGCCCTCGTCTGGTTCCTCAACAAATGAGTTTATGGTGGAAATCTGCTTCATGTCGAACACAGAACGATGCAGCGTCGCTGCACAGCTGGTCAGACCGACACCGGACACGGTGACGGGTTTCAGTTCAGACGGTTTAACGTCAGATGGAGGATTGTTCCAGTGAGGACAGAACAAAAACATCTTGGTCACGACTCCAAGTAAGTTTTATCAGAGTCAAAGAGTCAAAGACTAAAAGACTCAGAGTCAGTAAGTCACAAAAGGTGAAAAGTCAAATAATTTAAGAGTCAAAAAGTCAAAGAATCAGATCCAAAGAGTCTCAGAGTCGAAGCATCAAGAGTCAAAGCTTCATAGATTTAAAGTCACAAAGAATCACAGCCAAATAATCAAAGAGTCACAGACAAAGAATCAAGGACTCATAAAGAATCAGCAGGTTGCCGAATCAAAGAATCAAAGAGCGAGTCACAGATTTCTGGTTAGAACCCTGGACTGAACCTGTGTCAGAGTTCTGCTGTAAACGGATCAGATGAGTGTTTGGCTGCTGGTGTTTCTCCTGTTTGACTCTGAAATCCGTCTGAACATCAGAACCAGACATGAAGCCGTCGTGTTTCCTCTCGTCAGTCCAGCAGCTGAACGTGACTCTGCTGTTTTCATCCTCCGTCTGTCGGCCGACTAACCTCAGCTTCCATTCACCGGCCGGCC